GCACCGCTATTATCTGTGTGTGGTAGGTGCTTCCCCAGGAGGTGAGCTCTGCCATTATCTCTGTGTTACAGAAGAGGAAACCAAGGACAAGTGGTATTATTGATCAAACTCTGGCAGTATTAACCCACCTTGGACTTAATACTAGGCTGACTGCGGAGATCACACCCCTAAGTGTGACTGTTACCGTAGTTATTTTGGAGTGCTGTCTAAATACAACCTGCTGTCCATTTTAGCGATTCTGCATGTGTAGGAAAAACTGCATCTTGATGGAATCTGTGTGGACTCTTTTCTATGTCTGTTTTCCAAGCAGTACACTATGGGAAGCATTTACATAGTACTGACATTGAATTATCAGATAAACTATGCATAATATTGCGTATGTAAATGACATAGGCAGATACTATGTCATTTTATAGAAGAGACTTGCGGGTCAGTGGCTCTGTGAATTCTTTAGATTTAGAACTAACCGTCCTTGGATACAGACGGGTGATTGCACATATATAAATGTAGTGAAGAAATCTGCGACAGAACTCAAGATGCCTGCTTTCTAACTGTCCAAAATGAGACTGATTTAATACATCATCCATGACTATAGAGGCCCAAAAATGTGAGCCATCTCACATGTTCATTCTCTGTGGGGCAGTTTAAATAGCTTGTGGGAGTGGTCTTGACCATTTGGCAGGCTTTCTCAGAGGTGGAGTTTGGACTGAGGCAACTTCCAGGGGGAGAGAGCTTAGACCAGGAGCTGGGGTGAACTCCTCATCTAAATATTCCAGACTTTCTGTATAAAGGGGTGCCAGGAAGCCGAGGTGATGCTTCTGACCAAACACCCATCACTAACGGGGGTTGAGAGTTAAGGAGATGAAAAGCTAAATATATTTGTAAGACTCAGACTTCTTGGTCTCAAACGCATCCTGCTTTCCTAACAACCCCAGTGCTTCCCCTTCTGAGATGCCGCTGTCCAGGTGGAGTCTGGGAAACCTGATACACAGAGATTAAGAAGTGTTCCAGGCCTAGCCCGTTGGTGAGAGGAACAGACACCAGTTTCCACACTATTGTCACAGACTCTAAACCACAGTGTGGGCTTGGTGCTGCTGACCCACAGGAACAAGCTAACTTAAAACAACAGTCTGTGGTGATTACTCTTTGCTGTCAACTGGACTGAATTTAGACAGACACGGGGTGGGGGCACATCTCTGGGTTGAGTCTGAGAGGGCATTTCTAGACAGATTTGACTGAGGAGGGAAGACCCACCTGGAGTATGAGTCTTACTGTTCTGGCAGAAGCTCCACCCCAGGCTTCTGGTATCCACATACCCAAGGAGTCTGGACTGTTCTGGAGAAAGCTCTACCTGAGCCCCTGGCACCCCTATACCCAAAGAGTCTGGAATGATTAGGTGGAAGTCCCACCTCTCTCTCCCCCAAACCCTGCCCCCTCAGAAAGCCTGAAAAATAGTGGCCCCACCCCTCAGAAAGTCTGCCAAGAGTTAGCCCCACCCCAGGACTGCTTGAGACCATGCCTATTGGCTACTTAAGACCTTGTAACCATATTTGCTGTGTGAGTCCTCTCCTGCCCTCCTGAGGGTCACCAGGAGTCCTTTGTTTTGCTCATTAAACCTGGACTTATTAATTCTGTCTGACTGCTTACATCTGCGGCAGTGGATATCCAAGAACCGGGGATTCAAAACCTGCCACAGACCCCCTTGGACTGGGGCCTCAGACTGTGTAAGAGAGAGAAAGAAGGGACTCCAGCTAAGCACGGCTCCTCTTTGAGCTCCCCGAGGGCGGATGCAGGGTGACCGTTGCCCCATGTTCTTGGTGCCACCTTTTCCCTCCCATGACGCGCTGTGAGCCAAGGTGAACCCTTCACTCCCGAAGTTTGTTTTATCAGAGCAACAACCAAGGCAACTAATGCGAGACCCTCATTTTGTTCTTCTCTATTCTTTTTACTTTTCACCTCCCTGCCGTCTGAGAAATGGTAAATTTAGTGTCGACGTGAATACTGGAAACAGGCAACACGTTATATGTATCGCCTCACATACCATCCTCCAACCCAGAAGTGCCACTGCTGTGAGCCGCTCCCCAAAAGTGGCCTCCCGGACCAGGTGAGCTTGGGAGACAGCACACTGTCCTCCTCCATCCTGCATGCATCCAGTGCACCAGGACACGGGCTCGAAAATTCAGTCTAGCTTTCTTAGGAAGGCTTTTTAGGCCACAGGATTTTTAGGGGAAACTGTTCTGGAACATCTCACAAACCGGAAGCTCCCTGTACATCACCATCGCCGAGGCTTATTCTGACAGTGGATAAACGCGTGGAATGTGATGTCAATATGTAAAAGTACCCTGCCTGTCTGTGAGAAGCTGGTAACCGGCTGCTGAGAACAACAAGGCCACCACAAAGCCCCACCCATCCGTCCCACCTGGAGACTGAACATGCACTTGAACTTCAAACGGGTTCTGTTACTTTCTTTGTCATCGCTGGTAAACCAGAGGCAGAGGATGGCTTAAATAAATTGGAAGGCCTTAAGATTGGACTGAAATATGGAATTGCCCTATATAAAGATACAAAGTACAAAGATTTTTTCTTTCAAGCAATGCTGCACTGTCTCAGAACTGTGCACAGGTCCAGGTCAAGGCGGGTGGCCTTTGTCACGATTTTGGAAGTTCAACAAACTGCGTGCACTTAGCGAGGATTAAAGCGTCAGATTTGAGTAAAACAAAAATCCTCTGGAGCGGACTCAAGTACTGCTAGCCCGTGAGTGTTCGCGCTAAGCCAGACATCTGGATGAAGGATAAATGCTACGCGGTTTGCCGCACGTCCTCTGAATTTATCAAGACATGCTGATCCTAAAACTAAGCATCTGTGGTTCAATTTTTCTCCCCTACCCCTCCCGAATATTACGGAGGTGAACAATTTATCACGCCTAATACTAAGAAGTGGTACCTAGAACAACCTGCAGAGATAATGAAGGGACAGGAGCTGGGAGATCTTGCTGTATTTTGGGGACCAGAAGAAGGAAGGGATTTCTCTAATCTGAAAACTGAAGTGAAGAGTTGAGTGTCAAGACTTTGAGGTATAAGAAAAGTACAGAGTTCTAACTTGAACGAGAGACTGGACATACGGGAAACTCAAGAAAGCTAAGCCTGTTAAATACATCTTATTACATGTGTTAATACATCTTATTTGGCTTTCCGGGTGAGCGCCTTGAAAAATCCCATTTGGAGATCTAATCTCTAGGACCCCGGGGTGTGATGGGATTGGGAGACAGAGCTTTTCGGGAGACGGGAGACGGCTGAGTTAAAAAAGGTAATTAGCTCTCATCCAATCTGACTGGCGCCCTCCAAAGAGGAGAGAATTTGTAGGCAGGCATCTCTGTGGATGGAAGAATACACGGAGGACCTCACGAGAAGACTGGTGGTTCACACGCGGGAGGGGAGAGAACGCAGGAGAAACCACGCTTACTGTTGTAACCTTGGTCCCGGACTTACAGCCTCCAGAAACATAGGCAATAAATTCCTGTTGGTTAAACCATGTAGTCTGTAGTGTTTCGTCACGGCGGCACGAGCAAACCAATACATACATGGATTATCTACATCTATGGAACATGTATCCAGCGCAGTTGGGGACTCACCACATCAAAGGCAGTAAACACGTGGCAGTAATGGTGGTTGGACTTCAGATCTTTCGTGATATAAGCGAACGTCGAGAGGTCTTCTGGGTCCTGGGCGGCGCAGGAGATATTACGAATTTCATGTTCAGCAATGATGTTCTAGAAGAAACGACACAAACCATCACTGTTTTCCTTGGAGAACCCACACGCTTTAGAATCAGGACAGGTAATTCTGGGAACCAAGATAGTTTTCTTTTTCTCTAGGATGTTCTAGGCCAGCAATATTCAGAGTGATTCAATGTGTCCATCTGTGGGCAGATGTACACCAGGTCTGGAAGGAATGTTTTCATTTAATAATAATAGAAGTAGCAGTAATAATAGTAATGATAAAGTAATAATCCTAAAAGCATCATATCCTGGTTCAGCACTTGCCAGACGCTGTGCACCGAGGCAGCCTGGGGGACAGACAATTAAAAAACGAAACAAAACAGTAATTGCTAAGCATGTCACCACTTCCGTTCCCCACATCCTGCTGTAGATATGCAGTCTTGCCTACTGCTAACCCTGTCTGGAAGCAGGTTATCCACCACTTGCGTGTGTGAGGGGAGCTGTGGGTGCGGGAGGTTGTCCAAATCCCGACTGTGTGCGTCCTCTGCTCCTCCCCACCCCTTTGTTCTCAGATGCTGGGATGGAACCCGGGACCTGGCTCATGGTGGAGAAGTGCTCTAGCTTTGGTTCTATGTCAACTTCTCCACTCCCAAAGCAAGGGCCTGTTCAGAACAAAGTAGGTGGGGAAGCCTTAGAGTGTTCTCTCTCTCTCTCTCTCTCTCTCTCTCTCTCTCTCTCTCTCTCTTTCTCTGCAAGGTTTTCAGGAGGCTGAGAGTGCATGGCCAAGAGAAACACTATAGTGTGATCGTCAGACTTGTGGTTCCTTGTTGTGGTTCCTTGCTGGATACAAGGACCTATGAATAGGATAGCTTGTGCTCACTAGACCCACCACAGAATAATGGTGTGTGTGTGCGCGCGCGTGTGTGTGTGTGGGTGAGTGCATGTGTGTGCATGCATACGTGTGTGTGTTGCTGCCACTTTCTTACAGGTGAGGAAACTAGACCTTCAGTGCCTCACGCAGGGAAGGTGTGAGGTCTGGGTTGTTTGAGGGTGCTGACACTCTTGAGGGCACTGCCATGTTTCACATCCCCCCTCCTCGCCTCTGAGAATAACGGGTGGGAACGGTTCAGTACCACTGTCCTGAAGCACAGATAGCCAGAGAGCAACATCTTTGCTGCAAGACCTGCTGGGAACTTCTCTTGATGCACAGATGTAGTTAAAAAGTCCTACAATAGTACAATCATTTTTATCTTATAATTTCTCACATGTCTTTTGCAGTTGTCATAGATATAAAAACCCCCAATGCTTCAGTTACCCTAATTACTTTTTAATTGCGTATCTTAAAGAACCCGTTGGCAATACAACGTTCCACGTCGACTCATCAATGCTTAAAAACACTGACAAAATGTCCTTCCCTGCCAGCACCCTCAGCGAGTACTTCATGTCCCTCCCTCTACCAAGCTCTGTGGTTGGGAAGCAATTACAGAATTAACACATAAGAGAAAATTAAATTAAGACATTCTTCACCGTGGCCTTGAATGCAGACACTGTCCGCAGCTGCTCTGTCAAAAAAAAAAAAATAACTCAAATTGAAATTGGAAACCATAAACAAGCAACACTGTACTGCCAGATAGCTTCGACATAGGAAGCCATGGCCCTCTGCTTGCGTTCAGGTAGTACTTCTTGAGACAGAACACCGAATCAGGAACCCACGGGTCTTTGGAAGGAATTTTAAGGTCTGTGTAGTCTTTGAAGGTACCACGGAGAGTCTTGGCCCTCACTGGATTGCTGCTGGTGGACTTCAGAAGTCTGGACTCAACATTGGCTTTAGCTGCCATGGTGGGGACTGCTGTCAGCTGGACAAAAGCTACCTTCACGTGGGAGAAGGGTTTCTGGGCGTGCGTGAGGGGCATTATCCTGATTATGTCATTGAGGTGGGAAGGTCTGGCCACTGTGGGCAGCACCATTTTACGGGCCCATTTTTAGACTGTCTGAAAAGCCGAGAGGCAGTTGAACGAAACAGTTGTTTCTCTCTGCGTCTCCACTGTGGATGCTATGTGATCAGCTGGTTCAGCTTCTGCCCGCTGTGGCGTCTCTACAGCAAGGGATGGTAACACCTGAGATGCGAGCCAGGGTAAACCCTCTATCCCTTCAGTCACTTCCAATCTTGTATTTTGTCATAGCCATGTGTAAAGTAACCCAAACACCTGCCCAGGAGCTCCATCGAGCTGGCGAGTGCTGGTTCTACCTTTCAGTTGGCATTTGTGTCCTTGGGGATCTTTGTCAGCATCGGGAAGATGTTACATGAACAAGTGCCCTGTGAGGTTTGCAGCACTGGATTTCCCAGCACGTGACCATTCACTGTGACAGAGCTGTGGTCCCATGAAGCAGCTAAGTTGGGTCTCCAGTGCTCTGTCCTCCTGCCTTCTGAATCCTTCCCAGGATTTTTTTTGAAGGTCTTTCCCTTCTTGTCCCCAAGAGGCCAGGAGTGGCAGAGAGAATGGAGTCATTATCACTGAAGCTCATCCCCAGGGGCAGGGTCAGCTTTAATGTTCCTTTGAGGCATCTGAGATGCTTGTGTTATACAAATGTCATCGGTCCTCACTACTGAAAATGTCTCAGCTAGGAGGAAAGCAATATCATGAAGACGGTCTGTCCTCAGGCAGGATATTCTCACAGAGCTTTGTGAGAGATCCCTGGTGGAGCCTGGTGAGGACTGGGATGTCTGAGGAGAGAGGCCGCCTCCCTCATCACCATCCACCTTAGGAAACGGTGATCCAGGCCTCTATCTGTGGAATGGCTCTGAGGCCAAGGGCTCTGCAGCTGCGGATGTTACGGAAACTGGACAGCCAACTCAACCCTTGGAGAAGGCGCAACGAGGAGAGCGTCCCTCGCTCTTCAGTCAAGTGCCAGTTGTGGCTGCTCCACAGATTAATAGATGCTCTCATGAGATAGTTCAGTAGAAGACCAGCCTCTGTGTGTTAGCTGTGTTAGCTTTTGTTCCTAAGAAGGTTTGTTCTAAGGAAGGCTCACGAGAAGAACTGGGGAGGGGCTCACCTACTCTCCTTTGGATAGGGTTTGGCAGCTTAATGCCTTTAACTTCTGCCCGACCCTCACCTTTCACTTTGTGGAGAAGCAGTTACGGGTGTTGCATGTGGCATAGAACTGTTTGGCCTGGCCACTTAATATGACGGTTCAAAGAAGGGTGTGGCCTAAGGATCTACCTCCTTCAGTCTCCACCCTCCCACAGAGAGTTTCCCGACTGCTTCCTCAGGCCAGACTCTTTCCCATCAAGGGTCTGAAGTGCTCCCTCTGGAGAAGGACCAGCATGGAGGCAGTGCTCTGAGAGGCGGTTAACTGAGGATGCCCTGTGGGGTGACGGATGCTGAAGACCGTAGTACCCACCAGCTGTGGTCTCTCGGGACTCCCAGCTGCTGTGAGAAGCCTCAGCTATGAGCACTTAGTGCCCTGTTGGAGGTTGCCATTCGAAGAAAAACAACACTCAGAAACTAAAATGAAAAGGATGCCAGTCCTATACTCCTCCTAGTGCAGTCACTGGGAAGGCTAGGGAGAGACACCATAGGAGGGTAAATATGACCAAGTCTCTGTCATTCCTGGACATTGGAACCGGTCACCTCTAAAAAGACCTCGCTAAATCTCAAGAAAGGTCAATAACCAAACAACTGGAGTCTTGGCGGCCAGGTTCTGTAGCTCAGCATTTGAGAGGACATTGAGTCCTCTCAAACATCGTAGGACTAAATCTAGCCCAGGTTCCATTTCAAATTCAAGATCCCCTTTGCTTCTCCCTTCTTAAAGCAGGTTTGGTGTGTAGCTCCCTAAGTTGCTAGGCGGTACCTATGTGTGTTTATGACCAGGCACCTGGCCCTTCCCCACGAACCCAGAGCTATTTCCTTATTGACTGAAAAAGAAATGCATCATTGCATTGGAGGCTTCATCTTTTGCCTTCTCTAATCGGGCCTAATAGGAAAGGAAGGGTAATTAACATATAATTAATTGCCCATTGTACTTTAAACTAATTGGCAGAAGGTAGCTGTGGAGTAATAGAAAATGTATTAGGTGAGGCAGTGGAAAAGGCCATGATAAATAGGCTGTGCCAGTGTGCAGACATTGGTCAAAGGACAGGGACCTTAAGGTGTCCGTGTGAACTGGACAGACCTGTCCGGTTTAAGGAGGAGGGACACACATGCACAATGGAAACACACTGAGGTGTGTCTCGCCCAGGCTTCACGGCCACTAGCTCCTGAAAGGATGCGATCCTCACACACACTTCCACTCGACAAGTGCTCCAACCAAGACAGCACTTTCCAGTGGGGGACGTCCAAGGACTCTAGGATGCAGCGGCTGCAGTCATCTCTTCTCCCTTCCTGCAGCTCTTGCATGCCTTCAGCCCTGGCCATGCTTCTCAGCTTCCAATACAACCTTATACTCCGCTTTCTTCGGTCTTCTGATCAATCTCTACTTCACCCTTTCACACAGCAACTGGGAGCCTCTCCTCCCAGAGTCACTCAGACTCTTTCAACACTGTCATGTTGGGTAAGAGCAGTTACGTGGCCAACTGAAGTGAATGTCCTTTAAAGAGCCAGGCGTGTGTCGACAGTCATAGACAACTTGGTGCCTCCAGCCACCAGATGCCCTGTGTCTGTGCTCCTGAACCTGGAAATCTGTCACAGACCACAATGCAAGGACTTGAAAGATACCCTGATTGCCTTCCTTCATGGTCTTTATTTACATAAAACTATCTTTTTCTTATTTTCCTGTGCTGATGCTTTCCAAGAGGTTGGCAAGCAGGGGTCTAAGCGATCATTGGCGTGTGTCTCTCTGCGAACTGCAGCTAAGCTAAGGCCCAGCTAAGCTTCCCTCACTGTTCTGATGGTAGGGGTCTGGGCAGAGAGGATGATACTGATGTAGAGGCAGGTGGTTATGACACCACTAAATGACAGACCTGACCCTTCAGACTGCAGCAACCTTCAAGAGCAAATGGTTCATGTTCGGAAATTGTCAGAATCCAACTCAGTTCAGACAGTGTCAAACTCATCATTGCTTTTCAAGTTCTTCAAATCCAATACGGTAGAACAGTTGCTCTAGGTTAGGGTGAAGGGTGTGTGTGTGTGTGTGTGTGTGTGTGTGTGTGTGTGTGTGTGTGTGTTGGTGGAGGGTTCAAGTGCCAAAGTACCAAAGCCTGCCTTTCACATTAGCTAAAACGAAAGCAACAGTATCTTCATGAACATTTAACAACAACTCTGATCTAAGGATAAGGCAATTTTATGTACCAGAAACGAAATTCTCCAGGAACTAAAAAAGCCAGTCAAGGGGTTGTGCTGATTTGAGTCTCTGTGATTGCAAATCTGACATCATAACAGCCAATGTCTTACTGCACAGCTGAGTCATCATTAAAGATGAGGTACTTAATATATGTGGGCTACTACTGCTAGCCATCATAGTGATGCTGTGGTATAGGCTTTCTGCCTGAGTTCTAGAATTTTCTTCCAAACTTGGAGGTTGTTATTCATAGCATAGTTAGGAATGCTTGGGTTCATCCAACTGCCAATGAAACATTTTACAGAAAACCAACTCGGAAAATTTCTAAAGGGTTGATTCAGATGCTTAAGTTTAAAGACACAAAAGGGTCATGGTCCATGGGATTTTCCCTGACATCGCAATCCAGTTGGCTCTGGCTCTGGCTCCCTGTCACCACTGCTGAAGCTGATTTGCTCCACGACTCCCCATTCTGTTTTTCCAAAAGGGAGTGTGCCTAGGGACAAGGTCTGGGTGAGAAAGGCAGGGGACAGACACTGTTTACAAATGTTGATGACCTGTCTCTCCCTTCTGTCCTTTACAGTTCAAGGGACAGAAGAGAAGAACACAGGGACAGTTAGGGTTTTGTGAGAAACCATTCAGGTTATACAAAAGTGACAGGGGCCATACCTAAGCTTTTGAGAATTCTGTGTCTTGGCTCTGACAGGAACGTTAAGATATTTTTTGTGTAAAACACAATCCAGTTGGCCACACTTGACCTCAGAGCTGCCAAGAGTTCCCACTGTGAGTACCAAGACACAGCATGTCCTCGGTTGTTTTTCTGATTGCATCTCTTATGAAAACAAACAGTAGCAACTCTCTTCAACCCATTGATGAGGAATAAAAGGTAGTTATAGAATACAAAAAGTCAGGATGTGCTCCTTACCCAGGTATGCATGAGCTGTACCAAGGGAGGGACAATTACTTCTTGGCCTTTTGGCTAAGATCAAGTGTAGTTTCCAAAGGCAAGAACACACAGACACACGCGCACGTGTGCACATACACATTGAGAACCACAAAAAGACCAATGTCCTCACCCTTTACCTACCTGGAAAAACAATGGCACCATGCCTTTAACAAGTGATGATGTTGCTGTTTCGGTGTTCTCTAGACCCAAAGAGGCATGACTGCTAAATGACCCCAGTCTACCAGAGGGAACACTGTGACATGTAAGAGCAAAATACTTATAGCAATCTTAGCTCAGGACCCCAAATAGATCATGCCTTTCTGTGTGTGTAAGCGGGTCCACACGTGCACATTCACAGCCCTGGGTGTGAACGGGAAGCAGGAAGAAGGTAAGGAGGGAAGAGGCGTGAGGAAAACGGGGAGTGCCGGCGTTTTAGATCACATACTCAGGGCTGTGTCGGGAGTCTGAACCAAAGGGAGGGTTGGCACCTACCTTATTTGTGGCATCAATAAACTTGACTCCTTTATATGAGACTGAAAGAATGATAGTGGGGACTTTCTTCATTTGCTCTGTAGACTTCTGAAATTAAAATCAGAACGCTGTGAGAGCCGTGTGTGTTGCATGGCAACCGAACTGCATTGGTTTTTGTTTTTTTTCTCTTGAAAGATAAAAATGAGCGGAAGCTAAAACCACACATACACACCCCCAAACACAATCAGATTTAAATGGCGGTCACTCTTGCCATTAACTATGCTTTAAGTTTATAAAGTATCTGTTGGCCTTGCTACTTCTTATGGGTCCAAGGGTGTCCTTGCCCCTCCCCCAAAGCAGGAGGACGGTGAACTCCGTGTCTATTTCCTTGAGAAGAATGAAACCACGTCACATTTAACTCCCAAGGTGCATTCAGCGGTAACTGAATCTATGCCATCACTGTTCTATCCTCCTCGCCCCTTCATTCTTCAAGGCATAGGGATGCTCAGATGTGGACTTAAAACAGGGATTTAAAACGCATCCCTGCAAACTTGCTTTGATCCTGGTCAAATCCCAGAAGTGGATATAATATTTATAGCAGAGTTCCACAGGACCACATAGGATTTCATACGGCTTGATGACAACTTAAGTCTTCCAGGCGCTGTCCTTAGCCACAGTGAAACGCTAGACGGGGCAGGCGTGTTCCCACAGGCTAAGCTCCCATGACGGATGTTCACACCGCCTGCACATGTGGAGTCTGCAGCTTCTCCCGTTTATCCAGCTGCCCAGGGTTCCTGTGTAATTTAGCATGCGCCTTTCCCGCTGAGCCCTGCCATTTGTCTCCGTCACCAATAGTCCTGTTTACTTCATTTTTCTCCATGCATCCTCTTAATCATCGCCTTACGCATCCGAGACGAACTTACCTGACAGTTGGCCTGCAGGATTTCCCGCACAGGATAGGGAGGTACAGAACAGGAGAGAAAACACATGAGAGGGTGTGAGAAGAAGGAACCATTTCAATAATTCGCCAACAGCAGAAGTTCACTAGAAAGTAAAGGCTGAGCAGGCTTCACAGCCGGAAGCAGAGGCGGCGAGGCTTTTTATGCTGACCCTGCCTCTGGTTCTCTTTCTCCGTTTTCTCATCTTTCTGTGTCCTGAGTCACAGAGCCTTAGAACTGACATACAGGAAAGGTCTGCCGTGGGCCTTAGACAGCCGGCTCTCTACATTAGGGGACTCAGAAAAAGGCTAGGAACTTTTTTTTTTTTTTGGTTTATTTAGATCACTCAATCGTCCATTAAAAAAAAACTCTGAAATGTGACCAGATTTAAAGAAGGCTTTTAACGGGATGAGCGGAGCTCATGGCACTCAGTGGTGATGAGTATGCTGGATCTATTTTTTGGCCACTGAAAGAGGTGCTTCTTGTCCTGACATAACATTTGTTTTTGAGAGCTACCATATCTGTTTCAGAGACGAATAAATTTATTAAGAGTATGACAATACATAAAGAGAAGCTCGCTTGAACTGTATTTTAACTAGTTTTAAAATTACTCAGACTTGCCAATTTTCTTTTACAATTACAAAAAAAACCTTTCTACGAAATGGAATATAACATTACATACTTTCATGTTCTGAATGTTCTTCCTAACTGCTTCTGGAAAATGTGCAAGACGATTTGATTTAAAGGCAAGGCTGGAAGAAATCAGATGCTCTATGCTGGTTTTAAGGCAAGGCAGTAGCTGAATTTGTGATTAAGGCCGGGGCAGCACAAGCAATCATTTCGTGAACTGAATTTCGTGTGAAGAACTCTTTGGAAAGCGTAACAATAGGTTTCAGCAAATCACCTCACTCATCTCTTGCCAGGAATACTTTCTCCCGGACAGACCTATTTGTAGCCTGAAACAATGTATAGCTACATTAAGATGAAAATGCCAATATTTTATTTGTATTAAGAAAAACCCGTTTGTTTTTGCTCGGCAGTTGCGTGGTTATTTGGGGCCATCCGCTGTGCTAGTCGATGGAAAGCTTGGGGTCCATTTTAGGGGTGTGAAATTGTGTGTGGAATGCTACTACTCAAACTGGCCACCCAAGTTAGCTCCATGTTGCAGAGAATCTAAGTGGGAAACAGGGCTGGGCAAGATGGCTTCCAGGGAGAAAAGGCATGGCAGCATTAGGAGCCCATCTTGGCTCACAGAGCACACATTCTTGGCTGAACTGGGCATGGAGCAGAGCCAATAGGCTGATGGCTCGCAACAACAGCGATGTGGGCAGAGTCCTTCTGGAATAGTGACTAGGAAAATGTTCACCTTCAATCAAAGGGCAAGGCGGGTATTAATAAATTCATTCATTCATCAAGCTTGGTTTCCTGCTGGGGGCACTGAGCTGGCTCTGCAGGGATTAATAGCCATCTGAATGGCAAAAAGAGGAAAAGGGGGCTGTGCTCAGAACAAAGTCACATCCATGTATAAATGAGAGCTCTGGGGTGGTTTAGGTAGCTGTTGGGAAAGAAGGGTCATATAGTTGGCTTGAAAAGGCGGGGCTTTTCCTTTCAGGAGCAGACTCGCTGTAAAGCAGGTAGGGACTTGAGAAAGACGCCTCTGGAGGCTGAATGAGGGACGTGGGAAGCTGCTGTGAAATTCAAGGGGCAGACTCTAGCAGGACTGCTGTAGAAGTGTGGATAGCAGGGGGAAGAACCCCACCATGGAGGGCTAAGGACCAAGAGGCTCTCTGTGACAAAATGGAAGATGAAGGAGTGGGAGGCTGTCACAGATGATGTGGCCATTAGCAGAGATGGCACTACCAGAGGGTAGGCAGCATCCTGTCGCAAAGACAGAGAGATGCTTTCGCATCCTCAGCATGCTAATCATTAAGAAATGAGAGACGAAACTCAGATTTCAGAGGGGTGGCTAAGATGGAAGCAGATGGGGTGTCTTCGGGTGGAGTAAGAACCTTAGCAGAAGATTAATCCCACCCTCTTTTTTTAGGACAGGGTTTCACTGTATAGTCCAGGTTGGCTTTGAACTAGGAATCCTCCTGCCTCAGGCTTCTGAATGCTAAGTGTACAGGTATGTGCTACCGCATCCGGTGGGAAGATACATTTTTTTTTTTGACATAGGTCTCACAATTAACCCCAGCTGGCCTGGAACTCACAGAGTTCACCTGCCTCTGCCCCTGAGCGCTGGAACTAAAGGCTTGCAACACCATGCTGGGCAGAAGGTGAGTTCTTAAGATCTGGCAAAGGAACTAGGAATGGAGCAGGAAGATGCCCACAGATGATGTCACAGAAGCCAAGGAGCAGACTGATTAGAAGGCATGAGCAGAGCCCAATCTCCTAAGAATGAAGAAGATACAAAAAGCAGTCTCTGGCTGGGACAGAGAATTGCTTTTATTGGACTTATGGGGGTAAAATCCCAAGCTTTAGTAACAAGAAAGACTGTTAGCAATTTTATTAGTGGTAGTTTGAGGAGAACTTGGGCAGCGGGCAGACAACACTGGCTTTAGGCTGACCTAAGGGCACAGTGATTTCTATCAGACTCCCCATCATGTTCATCCAAGATCCACACTACAGAGGAAAGTCAAACGGCCCAACAGTTCCTGCCCCCATGCCAAGGCAGCTGGGTGGGGGGCGGTGTTCAGTGTTGAGGCTGGGCACAAGGCTCTGTGGTGACAATGTTGGAAGTGGTCACACGTGCCAATACGGAGCCCAGACTGTCCTCTCCCTCCTGAGTTCTTTGACAACATGCTGAACTGGGCCAGCCAAGACACCAAGCTCAAGGGGACCCTGGGAGGTCTGGAACATCACCTTCCTCCACCAAGGAAATGTGTTTTCTAGAAGAGCCAACAATCTTTCTTCTTCCTTGGGGAATTTCTGATGGTGTACTTTGATGGAACTTTGGAAGGAAGTCATTTTATATACAATTTTAATGAAAGATGAGCACTCGTAAAAAGAAGGCAAATATACTCAGTCTTCAGGGAGGTAGAAAATCAAGTACATATGTGTTCATTTCATGAAAGCTTTACGGGTTTAGGGAAGGGAATGCAGAGCTTCTGCCCCATCATGGGCCGTCTAAAGCAGTCTTGACTCCCCTGATTTGTTCCCCGATGAGCCATCATGGTTCCCTCCTTCTCCTCCCCAGGTGTGAGGACACTTGACCTAATCATTCACCCCTCAAGTAACAAAGGCTGAGCTCAGGAGATCTGGGTTTTAGGACTTACCTTCCTACTTTGCTGAGTGTCTGTCTGTCTGTCTGTCTATAGTCATGATGTCCCCATGTTCACGTGGAAGATGCAAGGCTTGTTACTTTGTAGATAGAAAACTCCCCCATGAGGAGCTCAGGGCAAACCTTGGTTTCTTGTTGCTTTGCTCTATCCTAAGGTCTTTGTGGCATCTCTGAGGTCTCCTGGCCCTCAGATTCCGTCTCCTTTAGTGCCAGCCTTACACAGGGGACATGGAATTGCAAAGAGAGTCTCCTAACACCTGAGCAGCAGGATATTCATGGGCAAGGCTCCAAATAAGCTTTACTGCATCTTACTTCCTGCGAAGACTGCTACAGGAAAATTTAACCATATTTTCTTTATGTTTTCCTAAGTTAAGATTGTTATTCTTTTATTATCGCAAGAGAAACAGTGCTTGGTTGCACAGTGATGCTGCATTTCTGAAATCTATTTAGTTCTTGGTTTAGATTGTCTGTATTCAGCAAGCAGAGCTGAGTTATAATTTCATATCTGGAACACTGTTCCTAAGAAGTAATTGAACACTTTTACATTTTTTTTAAAAAAAGAAGAGAAAAAGAAATAATGTTCTTTCCCCTTTCCTGTTTGAGTGGGTGTGTATTCCTATGTGTATGTGTGTTCCTGTGTATGTACACACATCGAGGTCATACATAGACACATGCGTGTGCATATAGACACATATATACACATATATTTATGCACACACATATAGAGGCCAGAGAACAATTCCACAGCTGTCATTCTTCTTCAGACAGGGTCTATCACCGAACTCATGAACCAGTCTAGTCTACCTGGCTAGTGAACCCCAGGGGGATCCACCTGTCCCTTTCCTTTCTTCTCAACACTGGGGTTGCAAACATGCTCCCCCCAGCTTTGTTTTTTAAGATTTATTTTATGTGTACATTTCTTTTTGGCCTGCATGATGTATGTGTACCACATGCATGTGTCATTCCTGCAGAGGCCAGAAGAGGGAGTCAGATATCAGGAACTAGAGTTGCAAATGGTCATGAGCCTCCCTCCGCGTAAGCGCTGGGCACTGAACCGAAGTCCTCTGCAAGAACAGTCAGCGTGACTGTCGAGCCTCCTCCCTCATCTCTCGTTTTTGCTCTTTCCCCAGAACCCCAGGCATTCAGTCTTTCAAGGCAAGTGCTCTACCAACTGACCCACCTCCTCAATTTTGTCTTTTTTTTTTTTTTTGATGTATGGAGGGTCTCAGAGAGCCCAGTTGGCCTCAGTTACAGCTGAGCATAACTTAGAGCTTTTGTTTATTCTGGTCGACCGCCCACTTGCAGGCATGCCAGGTGTGAGCCACCGTTCCAACTTATTTTTGTTTTTAAATATAAAGTAGGAACTGTTTGGTGCCAGGTCAGAAGTCATCTCTGCTGCTTTGACTTCAGCCTTAAAACGTGCTCTGAAATAAGTAGAATGGTTCCTCAGCATTGTGCTGCAGGAGTTCCTGTGACCAGTAGCCTTTAAGTTACCCACCCACTTGGGCATGGACTCTTATATATGCTGATGTAAAGCATGCTCCTGGCCTCTCTTCTGGCTGCAGGATTTGGTTGCTGTTCCCCATTCGAGCAGAGGACTGTAATCTGAGTCTACCCCTAAATAAATAACCCTCTACTATACTCAATTCTGAGCTAGTGTGGGATTTCTTTTAAGTGCCGTCTTCATCTGGCACGCACGTGGCCAACTAAAATCCAT